GGAAAGAGAGAGAGAGAGGGAGAGAGAGAGAGGGAGAGAGAGAAGGGAAACTGGTGGAATCAACAGAATTATGGAAATGGTCCGTAGGAAAGGAGAGCCAGGGGAGTAGTGAGTGGGCTGTGGGGAGGATTTAACTCAGTTTGTTAAATTCATCAAAATATTAAGCACCTCTTATTCTGTGCCTGAACTTGTTCCAGAATTTTAGGGTATATCAGTGAACAAAAAAGATAAAGATCACGCCTCCAGGAAGCTTACTTTCTTCTTTTTAAAATGTCATCATTTATTTATTGACAGGAAGCTTACTTTCTAATGTGTATGGAGCTATAAACATACTATGTCAATTTAATAGTAATACACTATATGCTATAAGGCATGATTGCTATGGGAAAAAAGGCAGGTCAGGAATTTGGTGTGACGCAATTTTAAAGAGTGGTAGGGCAGCCTCACTGAGAGGGTGATATTTGAGAAATGAGGTGAGGGAATCTTTCATGGGGATGTCTTGGGAAGGGGGTCTCCAGGCAGAAGACACAGCCAGTGCAAAGGCCCTGGGTCAGGAATGTGCCTCAGAGGAGAGGTTTAGGTTCACTGTTGGACCTTGTCTTTTACTCTGGACTTTGTCTTTTACTCTGAGGAAAAATGAGTTAAAATATATGTTTTATCCCAGTTTTCTGGCTTTTCTTCTTAGTGTCTTGTTTGGAGTGTGTGTGTGTGTGTGTGTGTGTGTGTGTGTGTGTGTGTGTGTGTGTGTGTGAGAAAGTCTGGCAAAAGCAGGCACCTGGGCGTGGGCAAAGGCCCCCTGAGTTCCTAACTGCCCTTGCATCTTCCTCTCATTACCCTACTTCCCAGGCTGGGGTGTGGCTCATTCCGCCCCCTCAGTTGTTTTTATGACACACTCTGAGCCCTGGGAACTCAGCTCGTCAATCACAGAGCAAATTAGAGGTGAGAGGGACCCCTGCCCACTGCCCCCGCCCCCAGGGGTACTGACTCCCAGCCAATCAACATCAAAGCCTCCCAGGGGGACAGGGGGAGTCAGGGGCTGGGGCCCTGAGAGACAGGGACTGAGAATGGGGAGCAGGCAGGGGGCCCAGCAAAGGGCATATCCACCTGGGGTGCACTGAGATCTCACACCGACCCCTTGGTCCCCTACACACGCACGCTTGCCTGACACAATGGCCGGGTGGGGCTGAGGAACTGGCTTCCTCTGCGGAGATCTCAATCTGCGCCCTCAGTTCCCGCCCCAGAAACATAGGAACAGACCATCAGAGACCCGGCCCCACGTTCCTTGTTCCAAGGGGCAGGCAGGACGGGCTGAAAATAGAAACCGCTTCCAAAAAGATAAAGGTAAATTTAGGGAGGTGGAAACTGGGGTGGGCGGTGGGGTCCCTTGGTGTGAAATAATGGGCTGACTCACCCCCAGGGGACAGGTTGGATGCGAAAGGGACAGGCTGTCATGCGAGGTGTGGAAGAGATGGTCAGACACGCCGTCGAGGGACACACACCCCATCCCTCAGCTATCCAGAGGTGTCTGGAGCCCACGCCCTCCCGCCAGCCCAGCCACTGCCATTGCCACCCTGTCCTCACCCCCACCCCTGTCCACCCCCGGCCGCTGTCTACACAGCAATGCGGACCCAGGACAGAACGTGCACATGCAACGTGCACAAACAGCCCACTCTCCACGGCTGAGTTTCATCCTTTCCCCAGACTCTGTTATCCTCTGAAACCCGGCATTTGGGGTCCCTCACATCTTCCAGAGCCCAAGTGTGCGCATGTGGAGTGTGGTGTGGTTTGGGGGGGGGTGTCCGGTTGGGAGGAGGATCCAATTCCTGTTTCCTGCCCCTACTCACTCGGCCCCGGGAGGTGACCGAGAGTGGAGAGGCCTCGAGGGTGAGTGCTTGGGCCGAGTACCTGGATCCCTGAGAGAGGCCTGAGTGGGGGGTGGGGGAAGGAAGTTAGGGCAGGTACCTGAGGGGGGCAGGGATCTTGGAGGGGGGCAAGGCTGGGGAGGAGCTGGCCAGCTGGCGAGGCTACTGCCCGGGGTCACCTAAGGAGCTTCCTGCCAGAACACAGAGGCCATTGAGCTGCAAGACTCCCAGCCTACAGCTCCCAGCCCCCACCCTGCATCATTTCTCAAAAACCAATCTGGGGCCCGGAGGGATCTGACTCTCCTGCTGACTCCACAGGGGAGTTTGGGGGCGCCAGGTCTCCCAGCCCGGACCTCGCTGCCTTCTCAGGATTACAGCGCCTTCCTGGTGGGAGGAAGTGAGCCCAGGCCCCAGCGTCTTGGCCCCATTGGTCCTCACCTTTAGTCTGGCCTCCTGACCACCCTCTAGGCATCCTGGCGGGACCCAGGCTTCCACCAGGGCATCTCTCCGGGACCAGGTGGGGGGCTGGGAGACAGGCAGGGGTGAGGATGGGGCAGGAGAGACCATGCGGGGGCCTCCTGGTCTCTTGGGGTCAGAGGCTCCAGGAATCTTCATGGCAGGAAAAGGAGACTAAAAATAATCCGGAAAGGGAGAGTCCAGAGAGAGGAACTGGGAAATGGGGGCGGAGGGCCCGTTGGAGCAGGGAAATAGTGATGCATCCCTCACGGCCCAGGCACAGGCGGGCGCGCAGGCCAGACACACACCGCACATACGCCCCACACGAGAGCACGGAACACACACACCCTTGCAGCCCCATCTCACACAACACGCTAGACACACTGTGTACTCCACTCTCCCACTGCATACTCGCGTGTAACAGACACACTCTGAAACACAGCATCCAACACCCCGTTCATGTAGCACTAAAAACACACCATGTCCACTCACGCTTAAACCACACACACAAACCTCCACAGCACACACTACAGACACAAAACACAATAAATCAGGTAGACACGTAGCAGCTCTACCGGCATACCCCATTGCCCTTACTGATCCAGTTCTCTTACACCCCTCATCCAGCCTGGGTCTCTACCCAGGTGCCCCAGCTCTGGCCTCACTGTCTCCTCTGGCCTGACTGGGGCAGCAGAGGCTGAAAGACAGAGCGCAATGGAGGCTGGGGGTGCCAGGGAGGGTTCAGAGTCCTCAGGGAATGGAATAAGGAGGGGTGAGAGGTAAAGGGAGGAGACAGTGGAAATGGGAAGAGAGGAAGTGTACCCGCCTTCCCTCCTGACTCTGAAATCTCGGCTCATTTACTTGCAAACATTTCTGCTCGCAGGCCTCAGTCTACTCGTGGGCACTAAGGGTCTCTCTTTCTGCCCCTCTTCCTCAGGGGATGACTCCAGCAGTGTACCCCACTCCTTGGAAGAGCTCAGAGGAAGATGTCAGCTCAGTCTCTTCCTGCAGCAACACCCCCTACCCAGAAGCCCCCTCGGATCATCCGGCCCCGCCCCCCTTCTCGCCCCCGGGCTGCCCAGTCCCCGGGGGCGCACCACAACGGCTCCTCTCCACAAGAACCTCCCCTCACTGCCAACGAGGCACCAACCCTGATGTGCACCCCCATCTTCTGGGAGCCCCCAGCCTCGTCCCTCAAGCCCCCAGCCCTTCTGCCCCCGTCAGCTTCTAAAGCCAGCCTCGACTCCCAGACTTCCCCAGACTCGCCTTCCGGCACCCCCAGCCCAGTGTCCCGGCGCTCCATCTCCCCAGAACCCGCTCCCCGGTCTCCAGTGCCCCCACCCAAACCCTCCGGGTCACCCCGAGCGGCTCTGCCCCTGCTCCACTCGACCCGGGCCCCTGGCCAGGATGGCTCTGCCTCGGCCGCAGGCACCGTGCGGAGACTGGCTGGCAGGTTCGAATGGGGGGCTGACGGCAGAGTCCAGGCTCCAGATCCCCTGGAGCCGGGTCCTCCCGGGGGACTGGATGTGAACGGGGAGAGAGAGGCTGCGCAGGGCATCCTCGCTGGGAGTGGGTCCCAGGAGAGCGGCACTCCAGGTAAGCCCGGACTGGCTCAATCCAGCTCCTCTTCTTTGTTTTCAGGGCTTTAAGATTGGGTACTTGAAGGCGCTACTTTTTAAAAACTGGATTCCATGTTTGGAAAATCTGGTTTTCAGATTTCGGGGGGTTTGAAGAGAGTCAGGGTAGAGGGGATAGATGCCTAGGGCTGACCTCCACGTTCCTGCTGCTGGGCAGGTTAAGGGGAGGGAGGAGGCCTGGGGAGGGTGGGTGTCCTAATGATGCCACTGTATCCCACAGATGCTGCGCTGGCCTGCCCTCCCTGCTGCCCTTGTGTCTGCCACGTAGCCCGGCCCGGCCTGGAGCTCCGATGGGTGCCACTCGGGGGCTATGAGGACGGCCCCAGGGCCCCCTGCCGGGCCTCCCCACTGCGGACCTCCCGCTCCCGCCCCAGCCCTCCAAGCCTCAGCCAGCCCCCAGTCGTCCTCACGTCCTACCGCTCCACTGCCGAGCGCAAACTCCTGCCACCCCTCAAGCCCCCCAAACCAACTCGGGTCAGACAGGACGTCACCAGCTCTGGGGACGCCCCACAGCCAGATCTCGATCTGCCCTCCGAAGATGGAATCCAAACAGGTACAGGGCCCCCAGGGAGTGGACCTCTGGGCTGGGAAGGAGCCTCTGGGCTCCACTGGGTGGAGGTGGAGCATTCTGAACACAAACTCACTACAACCCCCAGCAGGCCCTGGGCTTCTTGTTCCTCCACCAGCTGCTGCTCTGGGACTGACCGGAGTTGTAGTTTTTATAGTAACAGTCTCTGCTGGCCGGGAGTCAGGAGTCCTGGGCTGGGCATCCTGGAGGCTTTCTCTCTTCTCTCTGGATTCTCTCTCTAGGGGACAGTCCCGATGGCGCCCCTCAGAACGATCCTCCAGCCACCACGGAGGGCAGGTACCGAACACTCCCACCCTTATTCCTACCTGAGAGCAGACTAACCTTCGGGTCCACCTGAATCCCACCCCCACAAGTGTGGAGTGAAGAAGGCCTAGGCCTCTAGGGACAAGCAGTGCCGGTTTCTAATCCCAGCTCTGTCCCTTATCAGCTGTGTGACCTTATACAAGTCACTTAACCTTTCTGGGTCTCAGCCTCCTCACCTGTGAAATGGGGGTAAACATACCAAATACTTCATAAAGTTGTTGGGGTCTGATATCGGTGACGAGCCAGGGCCATAATAAACCATTTTAGTTCCCCCACTTTGAGCTTCTATCGAAATTATTGCCTGCGAATCCATGTATCAACCAGGAACATCTCTCCTGTGTTATCTGGGCCTGTTAATCATTTCACCACCATTATCAAGAGTTAATCGGAGGCCATCCATTTATTCAACAAACATTTACTGGAGTTTATTCTCCCGGGCTTTTACTTTGGGTGAAAGGGTGCATGGTGGTGCTGATGACCAGAACAGAGCAGGGAGGTATAAGAGCTGGGTTTGCCCATGTTGAGTTGTACCGAGGCACCCATAGGACATTCCCGACAATGGTCATTCCATGAGAGCCCTGGAGATGGAAGTTGCCGGTGCACAGTAGTTGAGACTGCAGGAACGGATGGGGCCCACTTAGTACAGGGCCTCACGTACAACAGGCACATAAAACGATCCTGGCTTCGGTCACAGTCCCTGCACACAACCTGCATGCGGGCCGTGTACCCCCTTACACTGTCACGTGAGGAGCATTCCAACCTTTTCTCTTTCCACAGGGAGGCTGAGGAGCTGGAAGAGCTGAAGGGGCAGAACTGGGAGCTGCCCCTGCAGGACGGTGAGGGCCTCTGCACCTGGGGCGTGCCTGCTGAGACCGTCAAGCGGTGGGCAAGGGTTCCGGGGCACTGGACTTCGCTGATGTGCGACATCTGCTCTCCAGAACCCCTGTACCAGACCTATCGCGCAGCCGTGCTGTCAGAGGAGCTGTGGGGGGTCAGTGAGGATGGGGGACCCTCTTCGGCAAATCCTGGGGAAGCTCCCCCCTTCGCCCGGCCCCCCGGACCTCGCAACACGCTGTGGCAGGAGCTTCCGGCTGTGCGAGCCAGCGGCCTCCTGGACACCCTCAGCCCCCAGGAGAGGCGCATGCAGGAGGTGGACGCACCTGGGGTCGGGCGCGGCGTTGGGGGGGCGGGGGAGGAGCCTGGGACCCGGCGCCTGGGCTGCCTGGGAGCTGGGCTTTCCACTACGGCCCTGCTGTTCCTCCTCAGAGCCTGTTCGAGGTGGTGACTTCCGAGGCCTCGTACCTGCGCTCCCTGCGGCTGCTGACCGACACCTTTGTGCTGAGCCAGGCGCTCCGGGACACGCTCACCCCCCGAGATCACCACACCCTCTTCTCCAACGTGCAGCGCGTGCAGGGAGTCAGTGAGCGGTCAGTGGGGCCGCCACCTCTCCGCAAGCGGGCCTCGGGAGGAAGCACTCCTCGGCGCTCTCCTGTCCCCGGGCCGCCCCTCCACGGCCCACTTAGTGCCCAGCTCTTCCCTCGAGAAGCCGGGACACCTGGCTCTCTGCCCCCCTCCATTGCTTGCCTCCCACTCCCCCAGGTTTCTAGGGAAGTTACTGTCCCGTGTGCGCTCTTCCCCCCACATCAGCGACCTGTGCGACGTGGTGCACGCCCACGCCGTGGGGCCTTTCTCCGTGTACGTGGATTACGTGCGGAACCAGCAGTATCAGGAGGAGACGTACAGCCGCCTGATGTGAGCGTCCCAGGGGCGGGGCCCCGTCACCAGTTCTGGCGGGAGATGGGGAGCAGGGTCGGGGTCCAGGCCAGGGCAGGTTGCGGGGAGATCGGGGCCTCGAGGCAGATGCCAGCCTGCGCCTGCTTCTGCAGGGACACGAACGTGCGCTTCTCCGCGGAGCTGCGGCGGCTGCAGAGCCTCCCCAAGTGCCAGCGGCTCCCGCTGCCGTCCTTCCTGCTGCTGCCCTTTCAGCGCATCACGCGGCTCCGCATGCTGCTGCAGGTACCCGTCCTGGCTAGGGCCCTTTTCGGCCCCACCAACCCCGTTGGAGAGCTCTCCCCGGGGGCCTCCTGCCCCGCCATCACCATTTCCCACCCCACCACAAACACAAGAATCCCCTAAGTCAGGACTCCTAATCGGGGCCTCTCCATCCAGGACCCACCAAACCCTACCTGGAGCTACCCAAACGTTTCAAGGAGCCGTCTGGGTGCAGGAAAAGAGCCTTTGGCTAGAGACCCGAATTCTAGATTTAGCTCTGCCACTAACTGGCTGAGCGACCTTGGGCAAGTCCCTTTCTCTCTCCAGGTCTCAGGGGGAGTGTGATGAGTGGTCTTTGAGGTCCTCTCAGTCCTGTCTTTGACCGTATGCCTTCCCAGTGGGGTGATATCACCCTCAAGGAGGCAAAAACTCGTTCTTTGGGGGGGCGAAAAAATCTTAACTATTCCAGTGGTTTGTGGTACTCCAAAGGGCCAGGGTGTATAAATAGATATACAGTATATTTGTGGTATTAAAATTTGATGGGGGCAGGGGGGACGATTAGGGAAAAAATGTCTAAAAAGACTCCTTAGTGGGTTGATACTGAAAAATGGGGTGAGAAACACTCTTCTGTTGCAGAGTAGAAACTTCTCCCTAAACTAGGTCGCCTGATGTGGGGACCTCAAAATGAAGAATCCCCAACTAGATCGTCAGTGCCCTTGCCTTAATCAGCTCTATATATCCCCAGTGTAGACAACAACAACATAATAATGACGATGATATTAATCATAATAGCTAAACAACTGTTGGGTGTCTGTTCTAGACATGGTTCTAAGTGCAATACGCTCGTTTAACCTTACCAACGACTATGTGAGGGTAGGAACTATTATTGACCCCATTTTATAGATGAGGAAACTGAGGCTCAGAGAGGTTAAATAACTTGCCACAGGTCACACAGATAATAATTGATGGAGACAAACTTTAAATCGAGGCACTCTTAACCCCACGCTATATTGTTTGTACTAATAGCTGTGGTTAATAATTATTAAAATAATAGCAACCCTCTTTTCAGCATTTACTGTGTCCCAAAGACTATGCTACGTACTTTACGTATATTTGCTTGCAGAATCCTCACAACAATGCTAATGGTATGGAAGGTGGGAGTTATCCCCATTTTACAGATGGGGTAACTGAGACTCAGAGAGGTTACCTGACTTGCTCAGGGTTATGCAGACAGCGAGTGGTGAGGCTGGTCCCCCAGCCCTGTGAACCCCCAAATGCCAAGCCAGGCAGGGTCCTCTAAGCTGCAGCCCCTCTGAATCCCAGAGCCACAGAGCAGGGGCCCAATTACCCTTCTTCCTCGTCCCCAGAATATCCTGCGCCAGACAGAAGAGGGGTCCAACCGCCAGGAGAATGCCCAGAAGGCTCTGGGTGCTGTCAGCAAGGTTGGAGGGGGATGCTGGGGCTGGAGGAGGTGAGGAGGCGGTAGGGAGGGATGGAAGGGGTGGAAGGGAGTGGGGGTGGGTGACTTGGCTCCCCTTACCCAGATCATTGAGCGGTGCAGCGCCGAGGTGGGGCGCATGAAGCAGACAGAGGAGCTGATCCGGCTCACGCAGAGGCTGCGCTTCCACAAAGTCAAGGTCAGATCCCGCCCGGGCTCCCTGCTTCCCTTTCCCCGCGGTGCTCGCGCTGCAGGGAAGTCAGAACCTCCTCCCTGCTTCCTCACAGGCCCTGCCCCTGGTCTCCTGGTCCAGGCGCCTGGAGTTGCAGGGGGAGCTGACTGAGTTAGGATGCAGAAGGGGGGGTGTGCTCTTTGCCTCCCGCCCCCGCTTCACCCCCCTCTGCCTGCTGCTCTTCAGTGACCTGCTGCTCATCACTCAGCCCAAGAGGTGGGTCTCAGGGAGGGAGGGAGGCAGCCCAGGCAGGATTCCAGCTGGACCTCTGCTCTCCCTCTGAACTTGCTCTTCCCTGGGCAGTGGGCAGCGGCTACAGGTTCTGGACTATGCCCATCGCTCCCTGGTCCAGGCCCAGCAGGTCCCGGACCCATCTGGACCACCTACGTTCCGCCTCTCCCTTCTCAGCAACCACCAGGGCCGTCCCACCCACCGGCTACTCCAAGCTTCATCCCTGTGAGTTGTGTCTCCTTCAGAAAACACCCTGGGGACCCTCACTTGACCTCTCCGAGTCCACCACCCTCTTCCTTAATCTCTCTCCTCCGAAGCCCGTGCCTAACTAACCCCCAGGAGGATCTCCCGGGCCAACTGTGACCCTCCTCTATATTCCCACCAGATCAGACATGCAGCGCTGGCTGGGAGCCTTCCCTACCCCAGGCCCCCTTCCCTGCTCCCCGGGCACCATCTATGAGGACTGTGGTGAGTGTTCCCTAGAGGGGAGGAGGGAAGGAAAAGTGAGTCTTCAGGGGAATATGGGGAGAAGCTAAAAAGAGTCTGGATCCCACTGTAATGTCACCCACCCCGACCAGACTGTTCCCAGGAACTCTGTTCAGAGACTTCCACACCTGCCAAGACTGAGGGACGGAATCTGGAGTCCAGGGCTCCCCACAAGCACCTCTACAAGAGCCCCGAAGGTGAGAGATTCTTTTACTTATTCATTCAATAAATATTTATTAAGCACCTATGAGGTGCCACTCGCTGTTCTCGGCACCAGTGAACCAAACACGCAGATATTCCTGCCCTGCTGGACTATACATTCTAGTGGAGGAGAAACAATAAAGAATAAACAAGATAAATAAGTAACATATATACAGTGAAATATTACTCAGCCATAAAAACAAACGAAATTGAGTTATTTGTAGTGAGGTGGATGGACCTAGAGTCTGTCATACAGAGTGAAGTAAGTCAGAAAGAGAAAAACAAATACCGTATGCTAACACATATATATGGAATCTAAAAAAAAAAAAAAAATGGTTCTGAGGAACCTAGAGGCAGGACAGGAATAAAGACACAGACATAGAGAATGGACTTGAGGACAAGGGGAGGGGGAAGGGTAAGCTGGGATGAAGTGAGAGAGTAGCATTGACATATACACACTACCAAATGTAAAATAGATAGCTAGTGGGAAGCAGCCGCATAGCACAGGGAGATCAGCTCGGTGCTTTGTGACCACCTAGAGGGGTGGGATAGGGAGGGTGGGAGACGCAAGAGGGAGGGGATATGGGAACATATGTATATGTATAACTGAGATTCACTTTTATAAAGTGGAAACTAACACAGCATTGTAAAGCAATTATACTCCAATAAAGATGTTAAAAAAAAAAAAGATAAGTAAGTAAATTATACTGTCTGAAGGTGGTAAGTGCTGTGGGAAAACGAAAGTGGAGCAGAGTCAAGGGGGTCAGGAGTCCCGGGGTTGGGGAGGCTTACATGTTTAAGTAGGGAGGTCGAGGGGGACCTTGTTGAGGAGGCACGGTGTGAGCCGTGACTTGGTGGAGGTGAGGAATTTAGGCACGTGGTGTCTGGGGGAAGAGTGTCCCAGCGGGAGGCAGGAGTCAGGCTGGTGTGTTTGAGGAGCAGTAAGGAAGCCAGTGTGGCTAGAGGGAGTGAGGAAAACGGGGAGAAGCAGATGACATCATAGGGGTAACGGGGACCAGATCACGTGGGTCCTCGTAGGTTCCTGTCAGGAGTCTGGCTGTCACTCTGAGTGAGATGAGCAGTCAACACAGGGCTTGACAGAGGAGGGAGGCTGATCCTCTTTTCTTTTTTTTCTTTAACTTTTTAGTTTATATTGGAGTATAGCCTATTAACACTGTTGTGATAGTTCCAGGTGCACAGCAAAGCAACTCAGCCATACTTATACATGTATCCATTCTCCCCCAAACTCCCCTCCCATCCGGCCTGCCACATAGCACTGAGAAGGACCCCGACCCTCTTTGATGTTGATGTTTCCTCCACCCCTAGTGGCCTTTTTACCAATTCTCCAAGGCACCCGCCATGACCTTCAGGCATTAGACCCCGCTGGGCCTCCTCTCCGTCCCGACCTGCCCCCTGCCCCAGACCCACTTAGGCCCTTGTCTCTCTTTCCCCAGGCTGGCTGAAGGGGCTTCCTGGGGCCTTCCCTGCCCAGTTGATGTGTGAAGTCACGGGGGAACACGAAAGGAGGAAGCACCTTCGTCAGCACCAGAGGCTCCTGGAGGCTGTTGGGCCCTCTTCAGGCTCCCCCAGTGCCCCCCAGCCCTAATGCAGGCCAGGGGGATGGGGTGGTGGCGGCACAAGTTGGGACAGCTGGCAGCCTGGCACAGAGGAGACAAAGCCCATCCATCCACTGGATTTGCTGTCAGTGGAAACGCTACCTCAGTGGCAACCAGTAGGGACCGAGCTTCAAGACTGGGCAGCCAATGAAAACAGGGCTGTCTGAGCCCACGCATGAGGGAGAATGAAGATGGCTTGAGTGGATTGCCAGTGGAGACAGAGGCTCAGTGCAGAGTGGCCAGTGGGTGCTGAGCTGGCTGAGCCTCTGGCCAATGAGTATCTCTGCTATGCTCACAGCCAAGAAAGAAGCTAGGTCAGTGCAGCTAAAAGAGGGCTGCACTGGAGATAAAGTCCTAGGATAAAATAGCCAACAGCAGGGACACACCCAGCCAAAGAAGATGGTGATCTGGGCCCAAGAGACCAGTAGGAACCCTGCTTGGTGCTATAGCAACGACCGTCTTGCCTTTTGAGTCTGGGAAATATTAGATTCCATTCCTGGGGTGCCTCCTGTGTCCTCTTAAGCTACTTCCTCTCTTCTAGAAGAATCCAGAGTGTGGGTCTCAGAGAATCTGTGTGTGTGTGCATATGTCTGTATATGTATCAAGGAAGGTGATTCTGCTGAACATGATGTGTGTGTGGTCTTGCCCCCTTCCCAGATGATTGAATCCTCGATTTCTCCCCTCACTCCCCATTTTTCTTATTAGTCTCCTCAGGAAAGACACTAGGTCTGAGCTCCAGAGGAGAATGTGCTGGGTGTGGTTGGCAGCCAGAGCTGGGGATGAGAGGCCTGGGTTTGGCCTCCGTAATCTCTACCTTCAGATCCTCCAACCTGAACTATAACCAGCCATTCAGCCTCCGCCTCGGGCTTCAGACTGGCTCTGGGTCCCAGGGTTGAGTGAAGAAACAGGAGCCGTGGATCTCGGGCCAGCTGAGCCTCTAGGGCTTTCTTGCCTTCATCCTGGTCCTTTCACAGAAACACTGGGCCAAGCAATGGGGAGAGAACAGAGAACCAGCATTACTGCCTAATCCTACCCAGAGCATCTGCTTCCAGATGAGAAACTGCCACCGCACAATGCCAGAAGGAGGTGAGGAATGGAGACAGAGCGGAGCAGACAGTTGCTGGCAAGTGGGGGCCCGGGCCTGGCACAAGGTTATCCCTGAGCTAAGCCATCACACCTTCCCTTCAGCTCATGCATGGCAACTTGCCCAGGACAGAAACTGCCACGCAGACCACTGGAGGTGCAAGGACTCTGGGAGACTGAGAGGGAGAAAGAAACTGGCATTTGGCATGTCCATGACTTTGGGGATTCACCTAGCACAGTGCCTGACATATGAAAAACCCTCAATAAATGGTGGAGCTGCATTGAGGCTCTCCTGGAAGCATGTGCTTAAAGGAGCAGTGGTTTCCAAATGTGACTTTATTAGGGGGGAGGGGCTGGTTGAAAAGGGATCCTTTGAGAGCAGGGGTCCGCTCTGCTGGGTGCAAGGTGGCTTGGCACACTCACAGCTCCTGAGGGATCTATGGCGGTGTGACGGGAGGAGGGTTGCATATGCTGAAGCAGAGAGCTGCTTCAGGTTGGGGAAGAGGACGGGCAGAGCCAGATATGGATGGGGCTCTGGCAGGGGATGAAGATGCAGCAAAAAGGACACCAAGGGCAATCAGTCAGCAATAAAGATCCTTTACTGACCAGCCAAGCATCCCTGTGTCTAATTTATTTCAATTCTACACCTATTTATTGAGTGCCTTCTATGTGCCAGGCACTCTTCTAGGATCTGGGGACACAAAGATGAAACAGACAAAGGCCTTGACCTCAAGGAGCCTACATTCTGGGGGAGCAGGTGGGGGGAAGTTACTAAGTAAACAAGTTAGTAAGTAAGAAAATATCAGGTAGCAGTGAATGCTATGAAGAAAATATAGCAAAGGCTATGATACACAGTGCCGTGTGTGTGTGTGTGTGTGTGTGGCTTTGGGGAAGACCCTGGAGGAGGTAACATTGAGCTGAGACAAGAAGGGAGCATCTGGGAAGCTCTGGGCAAATGGCACTCTAGGGGTGGTCTCAAGGGGATTGAAGTCCAGGAAGAGAAGGCAGTGGTCATGGGCAGGGAGCTGGCCTACAGGCTCCTTCCTTTCCTAGTGCGGGAGTCCCTCCACACAAACTGCCCTCTTCCCCTGACATAGTCAGAGACAGACACACATCCAGAGGCAGACACAAAGCTGCACATGTGCCCCATATATATTCCATCTCAACTCCTAACTCTCTCCTGAGTTCTGCCACTTAAGGGAGCCTCCAGGCTCCAAGTCAGAGGTTCTAATATTGGGATGATGGGGCGATGGAGACCAGTTAAGAATTGTGTGGGGGAAGTAAACACACAAAATACAACCACATGTACCAAAGGGACGGAAAGACGGAGTGAAGGGGACTGTCATGTTTCTGTTATCTCAGAGGCCCCTTTCCATTTTGGGGTGACCTGAGTGTGTGTGTGTGGTCCTCGAGGGGTCTGCATTCTGCAGGCCTGTTGGAGAGGGTAGAGGGTCATGAAAGAGGCAGACGTGAGGGAGCTAGGACCGCCAGTAGCATGGAGAAAGTGGATGGGAGAAGGAATGGGGCCCTGGTAAGAAAGACAGAGAAAATGGAATAATGGATGGTGGGGGCGGGGGAAGGTATGGGACTTCCCTGGCAGTCAGAGGTTAAGAGTCCACGCTTCCACTGCAGGGAGCGTGGGTTTGATCCCTGGTTGGGGAACTAAGATCCAGCACGCCTCACAGGGTGGCCAAAAAAAAAAAAAAAAAAGGGGGGAGGGGGTACAGGTGGCAGTAAGTAACTTAGTATTAGTTCCCCTAAGCTCTCTCCCTCCCTTTCCTGAACACCCTCTGCCAGGCATCAGCTTCTCTGTGTACAGCCTCCTCCTGATGTCCATCATCCTCTCCATCTTGTGTTGCTCCTCCCCCTTCTTGCCCCTCTGGCTGCCTTCTGCAATTTCCTTGTAGGTGTGGCGTGAGGACCCATGGGAGGAGAAGTCTCTCTCAGTGCTGCCCTGTCTGGCATTCCAGGCATGGTGGTGTTACTAACATCCCAGGTGGTAGAGAGGTACACTGACTGGCTTGGGGCATCCTGGAGCTGCCATTGCCCCATTCCTTCATATTCTATCATTCTGGGGAGGTGGAAGAAACAAACATTTTCACAGGCTTAGGAAAGGCTCACGTGTGTCTCAGACCTGGCGGAGGCGACTGGGGAGACAGATTGGGGAAGCTGGGCTCTGGTTGCGAGGCTTTCTCTGAATCAGTACGTGCTCTCTGCACTCACAGCCCTGCTCCTCATATCTGTGGCCTCCACATTTGGGGAGTCGATGATAATGCAGATAGGATAGGGCTCCGACCTCCCTTTGCACTGGCCCTTCTATGGGCTCTGGGTCAACATCCTTGTGGCCATTGTTGCAGGTGAGGCTGGTTGCAATCATGACCTCAAGCAACAGGTGTTTGAGAGGAGCCCGCTTCTCCCCACAGCCTGCTCATTAGCGTTCTCTCCTCTCCTTTTAGCCCCACCGACCCCTGCAGCCCACTTCCTGCGATCCATGCCACAGCCCTTCAACCTGGCTCTCTGCCCATCCCTGAAAGCTTTTCTCTCTCCCTCCTTCCTCGCAGGGTTCGCATCTCGTCAGCTACAGTGGTATCTGCTGGTTCCTGTCCTCCGTGTTGGTCAGTCGCCCAGGCAGGCATAGCATCCCGGTGCAGGAGTACCTCTCCTCCGACAGCGTCTCCAGAGAACTCCCGGAGGCCGCCCCGTCCTGGCTCCCCAGTACGCCCTCTCCAAACTACCCGCTCTCCACCCTCCAGCGGCCCGAGAGCGCCCCAGGCCAGAACAAGGGAAGCAGAGGGGCAGAACTCCCCGAGGATTCACTGGGACCCAACCCGTACTCCCCTCACCCCGGGGCGTGGCCAGGACCCTCCACGGCCCCGCCCCCGGGCTGGCCCCGCCTCCAGGCCGAGCTCCGCCTCTCCCCGTGAGGCTGAGCTCTCCCTCTCCCTGCGGCGGACCCAGACCTACTGGACGCAGAGAGCTTCCCGCACCCGGCCTTAGCAGGACATCTGGCCAGGCTCGGTCTCCTGCTTCCGCCCCCACGGAGGAATCCTCACGAAGTTGAGGCGCAAGCTCTTCGTCTGCAGTCAACCGCACGCCGACGCCCCCTCCCCGTGCTGACCCGCCGAACTCTTGCTGTCGCCCCGCCTTCCCAGGGCAGGCAGATTAGCAGATTATCAACTTCGGACCCTACTGGTCACCTAGGCGCTCAGCTCCCGAGCATCGCAGGGCGGGTTGGCATTTTCCATCGGTCCCTGCACGCACCTCTGTCACTGGGAACTCAGCCTTGCCTTAGTGCTTTTCCAGATTCACAAAGGGAGGCAACCTTGAGTTTCGCCGACTCTAAACCAAGAATGCATAGAGGCAGCCTGTCTGTGTCCTTCAGTTTATTGCCCAGGCCACAGAACTACCCTGAGCCCTGGTCCAGAGAGCTCAGAAGTATTTTCTCTTGGGGAGGAAACAGATTCATTTCTGAAAATTTGTTTTCTATTCATATTTGGGGTGAGAAGAAACAAAGTAGGCTGAGAAGAGGTGAGAATCAGAGAAGTGCTGACAGGTGTTGGGGAAATGTCAATTAAAACCAATAAACATTTTCTGAATCTCAGCTAAGTGCCCAAATCAAAAGGAGGATGGAATGGAGAAAGAGGAAGACAAAGTAGGTTAGAGAGAGAGAGAGAGAGAGAGAGAGAGAGAAGAAACATAGGAGGGAGGGCTTGTAATGCAGGGGTCAGATTCTGGCCTGCAAAGGCAAAGAGGCCTTGGATTCAGGAGCAGGACCAGAGACTGATTTTCCATAAAGCTAATACTGCTGATTTTTTTCCAGGATGCTTTGAATATACCCAAAACTCTAGAGTGAGACTGTCCAGATTCAAATGCTGGCTCTACCACTTATTAGGTCTGTAACCTTAGCCCTGGTTCGATCCCTGGTGGGGGAAGATCCCACATGCCGTGGAGCAACTAAGCCCATGCGCCACAACTACTGAGCCTGCGCTCCACAGCCCGAGAGCCACAACTACTGAGCCCGCGCACCACAGCTACTGAAGCCCGCACGCCTAGAGCCCATGCTCCGCAACAAGAGAAGCCACTGCAATGAGAAGCCCGCGCACCACAACAAAGAGTAGCCCCCACTCGCCGCAACTAGAGAAAGCCTGCACGCAGCGACAAAGACCCAACGCAGCCAAAATTAATTAATTAATTAATTAATTAATTAAAAAAGAAAAATTAGAAACTGGCCATTTGTTTTCCAAAGTGTCTGTACCATTTTGCATTCCCACCAGCGATGTATGAGAGTTCTGGTTGGTATCCTGCTCTGTGTCTTGTCCAGTACTTGGTGTTGTCAGTTTCGTCGTTTTTGTTTTGCGTGCCGATCCATTAGGTGTGTGGTGCTATCTCACTGTGGTTTTAATTTGTGTTTCCCTAATGACTAATGATGCTGAGTATCTTTTTATGTGCTTCTTGGCTATTCACATATCTTCTTTGGTGAAGTGTCTGTTCAAATATCTTGGCCTTTTAAAAACTGGGTGGGTTTATTTTCTTATTATTGTGTTTTAAGAGTTCTTTAAATATTCTAGATATAAGTCCTTTATCAGATATGTGATTTGAAAATATTTTCTCCCAGTCTGTGGCTTATATTTTCATTCTTCTAACTGCATTTTTCCAAGAGCAGAAATTCTTAATTTTGCAGTCATTTAAAAAATATATACATTTATTT